TTTTGTACATGCCACCCAGCTAGGTAGGATCTACCTTACTAGTCAGCACAAGAAGATTCTATTCTCAAACTGGGATTAAAAAAAAAACAAAAACAAAACACAATATATCTGGCTGGCTGTTGGTAGAACATACAACTCTTGTTCTCAGGGTTGTGAGTTCAAGCCCCACACTGGCACAGAGCTTACTTTAAAAAACAAACAAACAAACAAAACCACACTATATCTCATTTTCTACATCATTCCCATTTTACAGTTCAAAACCATGACCAGCTGTAGGGACGCCTGGGTGGCTCAGTTGGTTGAGCAGCTGCCTTCGGCCCAGGTCATGATCCCAGGGTCCTGGGATCAAGTCCCACAACAGACTCCTTGCTCGGCAGGGAGCCTGCTTCTCCCTCTGCCTCTGCCTGCCATTCTGTCTGCCTGTGCTCGTTCTCTCTCCCTCTCTCGCTCTGACAAATAAATAAATAAAATCTTTAAAAAAAAAAAAAAAAAAAAACTATGACCAGCTGTAGTTAAGCAACTTGTCCAAACTATCATTACACACTCCTATACCACAACCCTCCTTTGATATCAGAGTACTTATCAGTATCCCACGATATCCAGTGTATTCCCTTAGAACCACCTGTGTGTCTTACTAAGCTCTAACCTATTTGCAAAGCAGAAGCTATCCTAGTCACACTCAATAAATACTTGTTAAACAAGAGGGAATTCCTTGACCCTCAGCACTAGTATTTCTTCTAATTAATTCCACAAACGTGTATTACAGATTAAACACCTACTGTGTGGCAGGCCCACTTCTAGGTACTTGCGTACATGTTGAAGATAAACATCAAGAGTCTCACAAACGTATACAGAGGAGACAGACTTGAACTTTGAGAAGAAACACAGAATGCTCAGGGAGCTGGGGACGGTGGGGGCTGGGGATGGTGGGTGGGTGGTCGAATCTAGTCTTCGTGTCCAGTATAGATCACTAGACCAAGTGACCGCTCGGCTAAGAAATGATGGAGGGGAACGTGCAGCGGGAGAGAGGAAAACAAGACATCAGTTAAGGGTAAAGGCCCCTGGGTGGGAGACCCAGCTGAAAGACTCCGGTCGGCCAGCCTTTAATGTTCCAGAACCCAGATAACAAGTGTAGATGGGAGCTTCTTCAATATGAGTGATTCTGAATTTGATGAACAGAAAATAGCCAACTTTAAAATGAGAAATAATCATCCTTCCAGTTCATTATTATGCTCTCGGAAGTGAAAAAATTAATCTAGTCCCGTGGTTCTCAAGCTTGACTTCACATTAGAATCTTCTAAGCAGGGCGCCTGGGTGGCTCAGTGGTTTAAAGCCTCTGCCTTCGGCTCAGGTCATGATCTCAGTGTCCGGGGATTGAGCCCCGCATCGGGCTCTCTGCTCAGCGGGGAGCCTGCTTCTTCCTCTCTCTCTGCCTGCCTCTCTGCCTACTTGTGGTCTCTGTCTGTCAAATAAATTAAAAAAAAAAAAAAAAAAAAAAAAAGAATCTTCTAAGCATTGGGGTGCCTGGGTGGCTCAGCGGATTAAACCACTGCCTTCGGCTCAGGTCATGATCTCAGGGTCCTGGGATCGAGTCCCGCATCAGGCTCTCTGCTCAGCAGGGAGCCTGCTTCCCCTTCTCTTTCTGCCTACTTTTGATCTCTCTGTCAAATAAATAAATAACATCTTTAAAAAAAAAAAAAAAAAAAGAAGCTCCTTAGGTCATCCTAAAGTACGGCCAAAATGGCTAACAGCACCAACTGAAAAGGAAAAGAACACCAGCTGTCCTCTGGTCTCATCCTGAAATGACCCCTCAGCTTCCCACTGGCTGACTTCCTGTCAATCAAACCTTAGTCTAAACATTATGCCTCTGAAAGGCGCCCCCTGACTGACTCTGAAGGAGCCACACCTCCTAAGTATTTACCACATCACACAGGGCTTATTCCTGTCTGATTATCTGTCTTCTTTATTAGCTTGTCGTAGGTCCTGGAGTCTAGGGATCTGGCCTGTGTTGCTCACTGCTGCACTTCCAGTAGGAATGCAGTCAGTATTATGTGAATGAAGGAAAAAAACGACAGGTGGGCACAGGGGTATCTCTTATGCAAATGGAATTTTAAAAAATAATACCCTAAAGCTATAATTCTGACAAATTTCAGTTGGTATGATTAAGCCAAACGGACTAAACAGTATGGAGAACACTTTTTAATTCTTACGTAACAACTAGCTATGAGCCAGACTTCTATTTCCAAGCAGAGCTCAACCTAGGAGGGAGACTAAAGAACACAGGGCATTTGGTCTGGACTGGAGTCAACGAGGTGGAATAAAAAGTCTTCATATGGAGAAAGGAGTAATGAAAATATGGTCAACATTTCTATGAATAACAACAACAACAAAAAAGAAACAGGTTAAAATACAGAGCAATTAAGATTTTAGCTTAGGCATAAGGAAAAACTAAGGGAAAAAGCCTGTAACACTAACGTGACCATTACAGATGGGAAGAAAAAGTGAAATTTCTCCAAGTTCCTAAGATTGGGATAAAAATACTTCTGTTCAGAAGGGGTCATGCACAAGTACACAAATATACAGGGTGGCTAGACTTTTCTTCTGAGTGTTATTATTGTACTACAATACCTAGAGCATTTGAGTTTCCTATCCTGAATTTGTTTAGATCTGGTACCACAAAAATGAGCTCGGAGGAGAAAACACTAGTAAAAACAGTACCAAGTAAATATTTTTGAGAAAAGAGAAATATAGTCATGCTTTTCTTTCCACAGAGTATAAATGTTTAGATCTATCAACTAAATTAATAATTCAGGCATAAAGGAACTATTTGAAGGATTAAATTCACAAGTTACGTACAATGTACACTTAAATATGGGATTAAATGCCAGCAGGACACCTTGCCCAGAAGACTTGGGCCGTGTCAGCATAAAACCAGCAAGACAGTGTATATCACTCTTCTTTCAGAGCCAACTTTGCTTCTAGGACCTATAGTTCTAACAGTGGAAGTGTCCCTTCCCCAGACATTCAGCACCTGACCTCAAAGCTCTAGAACCACTTTTGTTCATTCCCACATTTAGTTAATCAACAAGTTTTGTGGTTTATTCATTTGCACAGGGGGAAAAAAAAGAGAGAGGGGAAATTTATGGATTAAAAAGATTTACAAAACATACCAATCAAATGTACAGACCCTGTGTGGGTTGTAAGTCAAACAAACTGTAGAAAAATATTATGAGACAATCAGAAAATATAAGCACTGACTGGAGATAGAGGAGGATATTTAGAAATACTGCTAATGCTTTTGAGGTGTGATGCTAAGACTATATTATGTTTTCCAAATGCTCTTATCTTTTAGAAATACCCGTTAAAAGATGTACAGACAAAATGGTATTCTGGGTTTGTTCCAAAATAATTCAAAAGATGATGGAGGTAGGAACAGGGCTGAAAGGACAGATGAGACACGAGGACGACCGCAAACCACTGCAGCTGGGTCATGGGTACAAAGGGGTTTGATTACACTTTTCAATCTGGTTTATGCTTTTAAAATACCCATAACTTTTTTTAAAAATGGTAATTTATACATATGAATATGTTCTTTGAGTTCCACATGCCATGCTCTTGGCTCTGAAACCTTCAATGACTCCCAATGGCATAAATACCTCAGAATAGCTTTCAAGTCCTTCGGAGTCCTTCAGTACCCCCCCCTTTTTTTTAAAGATTTTATTTATTTATTTGACAGAGATCACAAGTAGGCAGAGAGGCAGGCAGAGAGAGAGAGGAGGAAGCAGGCTCCCGCTGAGCAGAGAGCCCGATGCGGGGCTCGATCCCAGGACCCTGAGATCATGACCCGAGCCGAAGGCAAAGGCTTTAACCCACTGGGCCACCCAGGTGCCCCAGTTTCCCCCTTTTTTATATGACTATGTCACAGGCAAGGTCACCGGCAAATCCTTACTTGTCTGCTCCTTCTCTTTGACCTGTGCTTCCCCATCTGCCTACTGGACATCAGGCCACTTACCCAAACCATTATCCTGGTCTGTTCTCATATAGAATACTCCCAATCCTCACAAGATAACAAGTTTTAAGAAGAAGATTCATGTTTACATCTTTTTGCCTCTTCAGAACTGAAAGCAGCGTTCTAAGTTGAGCAAAAGGTGTTCTGTTCCTATTTTTAAGGTGGGCAGGATGTGGGGAACCTGCACCTTTACACTGCTCTGTAGTTTTTACATACAGTAGGCTGCTAATCCTTAGAGAACATCAAAGAGTTTAATTAAAGACAGTCATAAAAGGTAAAACTTTTTTAAAAGGGAAATTCTGACGTACAGTTAAATCTCACAATAATACAATACATTACAAAGTCAGAGCAGTAAAGGCTGTGGTTCTCACTATAGAAAGCTTCATTTCTGAGGCAGCAAAGTGATTTCCTTAATTAACCCATTCGTCATGCCTTCAAAGCCCAAGTCCTACATGCCCCGAGACAAAAATCATATTAAGGATTCATTTTTCTTTGATAAAAATCTTACAAATATTCGCATTATTATTACTATTTTTATTATTGAAAATACCTCACTGCTTACATTGAGCTCCAGTTTTTCTGGACTGTGACTGGGTCTAAAGGAAACAAACCTAAATTGGAAGGGAGGGAGGAAAAATGGAGGGTGGCGGAAGACTTAGGATGCACCCAGACAAGGAAGACTCCTAGTGGGTGTACTGTGCTACCCCATGTAAGCAGGGCCCTACTGAATATTCTAGAAGAGCCTGGATCTCTGTATATTTGGTTTGTTTCCACACATCAACCTGTAGTAAACAAATATTAAGTGTCTATGTGGCCAGCACTGTTTCAGGCAATGAACAAGCCAGATTCCATGAAAAGTTTAAGACACATTTAAAAATAATTCATTATATACATTGTAAATATATAAGCGAGTTAATACAATGAGAAACCACGAAAGCACTCATGTCAACGAACTGCATCTCGAGCAGACACACATGAAAATCAGCTTTACCTTATATTTCATCTTGGGACATGAATGAATGTAGAAACCCATATAATAATAGCTGAGTTGAGATGTTTTCTGATGAAGTTGCCTAGTAAAACCAATTTCTCTGCCAAAAGAAGAATAAAGATGAAGGTACAGTTAAATCTAGGTCCAATACTCAAAGTATATGTAATTTGATGTCAAATATCTGATAAAATCCTAAAAACCAATTGCTAAGCTATTAAGGAACTTCAAGAGTTGAAACAGAAAAACTTTAGAAAATACTTTAAGATAGCTTTTACTAAAAAGACATAAACAACTCTAAATTATTTGAGCAAATGCATCTAAGTTCACATTTTATACTTTATTGAGCATATTAGTTGATCTGAAATTCAAACAGCATAAAAATAGATCTATTTAATATGTTACTCATTATCCCCTTGAGTTTGCAAAAGGCTGTGTTTATCAAGTGAAAAACAGTGCAGCAAGTTTTATAAAACTGAAAAACCAACATGTTTCAGGAAGAATGACTATTATGACCATTAACATGCAAACACCTGCAACCGCATATGATGTATAACTCCTTCCTACATCTAGATGCTACTCTAATATTTATTCTCCCTAAAACTAAAGAGTGGAAAAAACTATGCTATCTCACCACTTTTTCTCTTTTTGTTGGCATAGGCAAGGATTAACTGAACAAAGACACTGTCAGCAATGCCCATGCTTGAAGTGGTTTTAATTTGCATCCGGATAAATCTGGGCACAGAACTTCATCTCACTCGCCCACATGAATGACTACTTGTATTTGAGAGTTTTAAGGGAACTTTAGTACATTTCTAAAGTAGGAGAAAAGTTGCTTGTTTCGTTTTTATGTTTCTTGAAGGCTTTTTCTTTCTTTCCTTCTTTCTTTCCAATGAATGCTTGAAATTCAAGGAGAAATTTTTTAAGTGAATAGTCTGTGCATTTTGCAAGTTCAAATTTAAATCACTGAAGGCCTGTGATCCTACAAATTCATCTGGAAAATAACAGTATTTCTAAATCCAAGCAGACTGAACATTATTAGCCTGTAATAGAATAACTCCCACTATTCCTAGAACAAATCCACTTTCAAGGTTCAAAGGGAGGAAGAAAGCACTGATAGGACCAATGAGGGACCACCCATGGCTGACCACCACACTCCTTCCCTTGGTCTTGCATTGCCCCTCTGCTCCTCAGTTATCCAGCCCAAACCTAGAACCATTCTTAACTGTTCTTCTCCTCTCACTCTCATGTCCAATCCGTCAACAGGTCCAGCTGGCCCCATCTCCAAAATACACTCTGAATCTGACCACTTCTCACTACCTCCATCTCAGCTATTCTGGTCTAAGCCGGCATAATGATTCCCCTGGATGACTGTAACAGCTTCCTGACTGGCTTTCCAGTTTCCACTCTTGCCCCTCTATAAATCCCACGGAGTGGTCTAAGTCATTTTTTACAGTATGCATCAGATCAGGTAACCTCCCCAAACCCTTGGCCTTCGAAGTGGGATGGTATCACACGTAGATAAAATCGAACCTCCCTACCATGACCTATTAAGCGCAGCTCCCTCAGCCTCTCCTCACCAGTGCCTCCTGCATCTCTGCCCTCCCTGCTCAGCTCCTGTCTATTTCCTACCCCCATCCCAGCCTGACCACCTCAGATGCTGTACTACCCATACTTATACCCTTAGATTTTTATTCACACACTTGAATGCTTTATTTTTTCTTGGCTCCTCAAATGTCACCTGTCCAGAGAGGTCTTCCCTGACCACCCTATACAAGGACCTCATGCCTACCACCGTGATTTTATTTTTGTCACAGTATAATGGAGTATTTAATGGAGTATTATGTTGGCTTCTAATTTACTGTCTGCTTTGACAAAGCTGGAAACCCTTACTCATTTCTATGAAATGTGTCCAGGATACACAGGTTCTTATCAAATAAACATCTGTTAAACAAATTAATTCATTTCTAAAATTTATCTTGCTAACAAAACATAAATAAATGCCACACTCATGATCCCTAATTCAAACATTTTTTTTAAACCTACAGACTAGGTTATATAAAAATCTGTATTAATTATAGATTAAAATATAAAAACCATATTCACTGTACAATTGCTTAAGAAATTAAAGAAATGGAGGGAAACTAGCTAAACAGATTTCACTGAAATACACTATAATCAATAACAGAACTGGCAATTTATAGCCTATTCTCCTCATTCTTGCTTGGAAATATCAATCTCCTGGTTGCCTTTCCTCTTCTAGAAAACTCAGCAACTCATATTCTCAAGACACTAAAAGGAAATGACAAGACTATAATGCAGAGGCAATAGCTTTCAGGCTCCCAGGCTCCTCTGCTGCTTCCTCAAAGCTCTTCAGCTCTAGAATTTCAAGAGACATACCAAAGCAATAAACAAAACTCTTATTAATTTTGCTGGGAATTGTATATTTACTATCTCGAATGCAGTAGGATTTCAATATCCCTTGGTTTATTGAGATATGAAATGATATGTCATATACAGGTTGGGATTCACTATGTGGTTATATAAATATTCTCGATATTTACCTGAGAAGTCTAAACAAATCCAAGGATACACACTGTAAAGTGACAGATATAAAAACAAAACAAGAAGGAAAATGGCAATACTTTCAAAGTGTTCGCTGATTTTTGTTCAAAGAAAAAAGTAGTTTTTCTGAAATAAATATACACTTCTAAAGTTACAAAATGTAAATGCTTCAAAGTATCAGTTCCAATATCATTGACGTCATAAGTGTCAAGAATATTCTTAATTAGTGGACACACAAATGCAATTAAATACATAAGAAAAAGAAAAATTATTACAGAGTTCAGTTACAAACACTGTATAATTGTGAATCTGCTCTCACTTGGCATTAGGAGACATGTCAGGTTGAAAATACCTAGGTGGGGAATTTTTCTTTATATTACAGACCACTGAAACACACAAAAGCAATCATGGGCCAGATTTTTTACAAAAATCAAATGGCGAGTAAAGAAAAATACCAACTCTTCCACTTTTATAATTCAGAAAAAAGCACATACACAGCAAATAAATAATCTCAAAATACATCTTCCCAAGATGTGAGAATGTGACCACTGCACAGAGACTGAGAAATGAGAAAACAATGACACCATGAGAAAGAAAGAGTCTCAAGGTCCCAGACAAGCAACAGAAAAATAATTTTCAATCCTCCTTCCCTTCTCTACCACATATATATGCAGACAAGAAGGAATAAAAATAGAACAAGTATTTTTCAAAGAATAAGGCCCTAATCTTTTTACCATGAGGATAATGCAAAGTATCTGCGCTATGCTGTGTACATTTGCAGCCGTGGACATAAAAGAGAAATAATCTTTTGGTGAGAGCCACAGAATTAAGTGCACAGGTAGGGCCTTCTAGTCCTGTTCTATATACTTTCTATCATTATATATCTTTCCAAAAGACTCACATTACTTACACGGGATTCATTTAACCTTTAATTATGAAAAAAATATATACAACAATGACAAAAATATGTAAATACTATAATATTTAAGGAACATTAAGTTGTTCTTGATAGAGGAGCTTAAATAAAGGCACAAACAAAAAAGCACCCCACAAATACAGTGACTTGTCCTACCCTAGATGAGATGATAACTGAAAAATCTAGGGAATTAGCATCAGACATTGGCCTCAGTTCTAAAAGCGGTATTCTAAACACCAATATATAACAGATTACTATAGCAACAAATATGCACTGTCATATAGGATTTCTGCCATTACATGATGAACTCTAATCAAATGAGGAATTATCTGAAGCTCCACATGACCCATTACCGCTGTCAAAAGTAATCTTACCGTAGTGCGGAGTAGACACCCAAAGACAGGAATGAATAATCAGGATCATAGTACAAATAGACAGAAGATACACAGTATGGAAGGATGTCAATCACTCCCACAGCAATGATTCTTCCATCAAGCCAGTACTGCTGGTGAAAGGAGCCATAACCACAATCTGGTCCATGAGGGGGGTTCTCAGCCTGTTGAGAAAACAGATATACATATGAACATTTTGTTTTTATCTTTATATTAAAAATCTTAATAATTACCTAATATACTTTTATTTTCCTTCGTGACTACTAAAATTTCCCATGTTGCCATCATCCTCTGCAGTCACACCCTATAAAACTTTTTACTTGTATAAACACTGACCGAACAAAAGCATGAGAAAAAGAAATAAACTTAAGATTTTTTTTTAACTTGTTTAAAAAATATAACAGTAGGAAATATAAATTTCACAGGATAAATAAATATTAAACTATATTTTTCTGTTCCACATAAAAGTTGGGAAAGAAATGGTGTACAAGTGAAGATGGAGAATATAAAAGGAGAGGGATGGGTGAGAACAGAGCTGCCCCCATACTGCCAGCCAGGCCTGATCTGTGACGAGCCCACACTGATAAGGCATAGGATCCCATTATTTTTTCTAGGTAAGAGTTCCTGCATAAATACAAAAGGGCTATAAGACTTTCCCTTTCTGGCCTAAAGAAAATAAAGTTATTTCCTTACCATTATCTTAATGTAACTATAATCCCAGTGACATTTTTCATTTTAAAATTCAATAAGATTTTTTAAAAGATGTATTTATTTACTTCTAGAGAGAGAGAGAGAAAGAGCAGGTGGGGGAGTAGGAGAGGAGCAGAGGGAGAGGGAGAGAATCTCAAGGCGACTCCCTGCTGACCATGGAGCCTGATGGGGGAGCTCAATCTCACAACCCTGAGACACTGTGACCTGAGCCAAAACCAAGAGTACGATGCTCAACCTGACTGACTCACCCAAGTGCCCCTAAAATTCAATCTGATTTTAAATATAACTGTTCCTAAATGAAAATCATAAAACAAAAATTATGACACATCATAAAAAAATGCTTTGCTAGAGACTAAATAGGCATATTAGAGATTAACAATTTAAGTGAACAAATACAACAGAATATGTATATCATTTTCATACAGCTAAAATCACAGATAGTACGTATGGACAAAAGCAGATGAGAATGAAGAAAAATGAAATAAGTTGGCCTACTAATATTAAAACCAGAAGAAAAAGAAAAACACTACAAGATAGGAAATCTACTGATCAGTATCTCTCAAAACACAGGTATAAAAAACTCTCACCAAAGTATCAGTAAATCAAATCCAAAAATGTATAAAAAGAATTATATATGTAAGTGACAAAGTGGGATTTATTCCAGGTACAGAAGGCTGGTTCAACATTAGAAAAGTAATTTTTTAAAAAAGGCAATTAATGTATTCTATCATGAAAAGAGGCTAAAGAAAAAATCCTATGATATATCAATTGACACAGAAAACACCTCTGACAAAATCTAACATCCATTCATGACTAGAAACAAACTAGGAAGGGAAAGGAATTTCATCAACTTGGTAAAGAACATATACACCAAATCTACAGCTGACATTATACTTAATGGTGAGAAAATGGATGCTTTCCCAATAAAATCAGGAACAAGGCTATGATACCTCTCTTATCACTCCTATTCAACATCATAATGGAAACCCTAGCTAGTGTAATAAAAAGGAAATAAAAGGTATAAAAATTGGGAAAGAAAAAAAATAAAACTGTCCTTATTCACAAATGACATGATTTACTATGTAGAAAATCCAAAGAATCAATAATAAAAAATGGAAATAATAAGCAATTATAGCAAGGTCACAGGATACCGAGTCAACAATCTAAAGAAATTTGCTTTACTATTTACTAGCTATATTACACTTGTACTTATATTTATACTTACTATTTACTATTTACTAGCTATAACTAGAATTTGAACTTAACCCAATACCATTTATAAAACCAAAAAAATTACATGGCTAAGTACAAATCCAACAAAATATGTGTAGACTATATATGCAGAAAATTCTGACAGAAGGAATCAAAGAAGAGGTTAGCTAAATTGAAAAATATTATATGCGCCTAGATTGGAAGACTCATTCTTCCCAAGCTGGTTCACAGATTTAATATCCCAATCCAAATGTCGCACACTATTTTGTGGATATCAACAAATTTATCTAACATTTATATAATAAGGCAGAAGACCTAGAATAGCCAACATAATACAGAAGAACCAAGTTGAAGGTCTGATACTACCTGATATCAAGACTTAAAATAAAGTTGGGGCGCCAGAGTGGCACAGTCGGTTAACAGTCCAACTTTTGGTGTCTGCTCAGGTCATGATCTCAGGGTCATGAGACAGAGCCCTGTCCAGGCTGGGCTCTGCAGTCAGTGCAGAGTCTGTTTGAGATTCTCTCTCCTTTTTCTTCTCCCTGCCCCTCCTTCTTGTATACTCTTTCTCTCTCTAAAATAAATTAATCTTTAAAAAAAAAAAAAAAAAAAGACTCACCAGTAAAGCAATGAAGCTACAATAGTCAAGTCAGGGTGATCCTGGTGAAAAAACAGGTAAGTAGAACGGTGTAACAGAACAGAGAGCACAGAAATAGACCCACATAGGTATGGGTGACTGACCTCTGACAAAGAAGCAAAGACAGTTCAACAGAGAAAGGACAGTCTTTACAACAAATGATGCTGTAACAACTGATACCCAAATGCAAAAAAATCTAAATCTAGACACAGACCTTACATCTTTCAAAAATATTAGCTCAAAATGCACCATAAGCCTGAATGTAAAATGCAAAACTATAAAACTTCTAGATGATAACACAGGAGAAAATCTAGGTGACCTTGGGTTTTGCAGTGAGTTTTCAGAGATGATGCCGGAAGCACAATCCATGAAATATATAACTGGCAAGATGGCCTTCATTAAAATTAAAAACTGCTTTGGAAAACACACTATTAGAAGAATAAAAAGTGAAGCTACTGACTGGAGAAAGCTGCGACACATGTATTGGATAAAGGACTGGTATTCGAGAAAAGAAAGACTAAAATTCAACAGTAAAAAAACCAACAGCCCAGGGGCGCCTGGGTGGCTCAGTGAGTTACTCTGCCTTCAGCTCAGGTCATGATCCCCGAGTCCTGGGATCGAGCCCCGCATGGGGCTCTCTGCTTAGCAGGGAGCCTGCTTCTTCCTCTCTCTCTCTCTCTGCCTGCCTCTCTGCCAACTCTTGATCTCTGTCTGTAAAATAAATAAATAAAATCTTAAAAAAAAAAAACCCTTTAAAAAAAAACCAACAGCCCGATTAAAAACTGAACAAAGGACCTGAGCAAACACCTCTCCAAAGGAGAGGTACAGGTGGCAAATAAGCATTTGAAAAGACGCTCGACATCATTTGTTAGGGAATGGAAAAGAAAAACAATGAGATAGTATGACCCAACTATTGGACTGGCTGAAATCCAAAAACCTGAGTATTAAATACTGGCCAGGATGCGGGACAAAAGGAACCCTCCCTCCCTGATAATGGAATGTAAAATGGTACGGACACTGCGGAGGATGGTTTTGGAGTTTCTGACTAAACTAGATATGGTGTTACTATATAAAACAATAACCACATTCATAGGTATTTATCCAGTTTGTCTGAAAACTCAGATCACACAAAAACCCACAAGCCTGCATGCAAATGTTCATAAGAATTTTATTCATAATTACCCAAGCTGGAAGCAAGTAAGATATCCTTCAGTAGGTGATAGACAAATCATGGTACAGGGAATACTATTCATCGATCAAAAGAAATGAACTATCAAGTCACAAACACACAAAATGAAGAAACCTTAAGTACATACTGCTAAGTGAAAGATGACAGTCTGCAAATGCTACCCACATACATTCCAAATATATCCTGTAAAAGGCAAAACTACAGAGACAGCAAAACGATCGGTGGTGGCCATGAGTACGCGGGGTGAGCAGCTGAAGCACAGGGACTCACAGGGTGACACTATTCTCTCTGATTCTGTCCTGGTGGACATGTGACATCATGCTCGTAGCAAAACTCAGAACTGTATGACACAAAGAGTGAGCCTTGATGGATGCAAACCAAAAGAAAATCATTTAGGAGGTGAGGGGATCCCAGGAAGGAACAGATATATGACAAGAGAATCTAACTGTATCACAAATGTAAGAAGCGGCTCTTTACACTCATTACATTCATATTCATATTCAGATTCATTACAAATGTCTGAAAGTGGCTGGGAGGGGAAAGGTGTTGACCTCAGTAACCTTTGGGTCCAGAAGAATGAGGGTGAAAGTAAATCTGCCATAAGCACTGTATTCTGCCTGATAAAGCTGTTTTACATGAGACTACAGGTTAACAATTGATACATTGATAACATTGATACACATCTCCAGTAAATGGATGGAGGTTTCTCACTATTGGGAGTGGGAATTTACAGATAAGTAAGATAAAATCCATGGGGTAATAGATTAGAATCCGGGACTGGAGTCCCCACTATATTAAGGTAAACTGTTTAGGGATGCCTGGGTGCCTCGGCTGGTTAAATGTCTGCTTTCAGTCATGATCCCAGGGTCCTGGGATCCCAGGGGGATGGGATCGAGTCCCACATCAGGCTCTCTGCTCAGCGGGGAGCCTGCTTCTCCCTCTGACTCTGCCTGCTGCTCTACTTGTGCTCTCTCTCTCTGTGTGTCAAATAAATAAATAAAATCTTAAGAGAAACTGTTTAGCCTAATATAGAGGAGATGGTTACATACAGAAATACGTATAGGCATGTATATATCAAAGATATGTTCATACAATAATAGTACGCATATATTATTTCTTTACTCTGTCAGATGAGAAGGCCTAAGGAAATGACACCCTAGTAGCAACAAGCATGCACGCCTAGTACCCAGATCTTGGTTTCTCCATTCTGTAGTAAAAGAACAAGCCTCTTTGGGAAATGGCTGATTCCAGGACTGGGACAGGAAATAATATAAGCCCAGCTCATCTTTTTAAAGATTTCTTTATTTCAGAGACAGAGCAAGCAAGCAAGTGGGAGGAGGGGCAGGGGGGAGAGAGAGAATCCCAAACAGACTCCACACTGAGCACAGAGGCTGACATAGGGCCCAATTCCAGGA